AGGTGGTATTAGCAGATCTCTAAATATATTTATTATTTTAAAAAACAACTAATTATTATATTAATTATATACAACTTTAATAGCAAAGTCATGGGTTATAAACTAATATTTTATATATTTGATTATATATACAGAGGACTACTATAATGCACTAACCAAAGTACCACTCTTTTTGCATACACCCTATTCAAAATATCTGGATATTTTGTATAGCATTTTTTTTTAATCATAGATAATACCTGGGTATTTTGCATAACATTTTTCATGTTAATACATATTGATTTTTACATCACATGTATAAGACTGTACAAAATATCCCATACAAGATACTCATCATCAATCAAGATACCCACAAGTATTTTATAAGTTTTTATTTGAATAGATTGTATTGAACCCCAGGTACTTTGATCAGTGCACTATGATAATACAATAATGATCAGACCAAACACATATAGCAGACTATAAAACCCTTCACAACTGTGAAAACCAAACATAAAACAATGAGCACCTTTACAAAAAAAATCTTATCCAAATCATCATCAATATCATCAGACTTCTATAATTTGAATATATGCTATAATAAATATCTCAACCACTATCAATTACCTTTATTAAAAGAACCACAAACTATCATTTCAAACAACACTTAACACAAAACAATGCCAAGCACCTTGCATGTTACCTTCTCATTACAGTTAACAATGACAGAACACTAGGTGGCAATACTAGGGTAGTCTAAAGCGGGTCAAATTTGCTTATAAATAACCACCTAAAACCTATCCTATCCTAACCCTAATATAAGATGATCCTAACCCTAAAGTTAATCAAGAAAATTATTAAGAAATATGAGTTGCCCCGCTCTAGACCCCCCTAATTTGGCAAAAATCCCGGACTGTAATAATGAAGGTTTATGCAAAGAAAAATTTTAACAAAATTTTCGCAACAATAGATAATCCTTATTGTAGCTTCCAAAAGTTTGTAACTTTTTCAGATTAGTGGAATTGAACATTTAGATAAATTAGTAAAAAAAAAGATGTGTTTATTCACATAATGTGTTAAACTTTGTTATGTTTTCTGCGTAATAGTAACAGATTTTTAGAGATTACATATTCAACCGTTTTGACCCGAGTTTTAAATTTTGACTTGGTTGAACCGTTTTAACACGGGTGACCGGTTCTAAACTCTGTACTTCTCATCACTTTCGAATAACAAGACGTACGTACGGAACCTATATAAAGAATAATTAAGACACTGACATATAAATGAAAGACTTAATAAAGTAAATTAGTGATTTACCTCAACTTCTTCGTCATTACGATCGTTCACACACATTTCTAAAGTGAGTGCTTTGACGTGAGGTGGAATCGGTTTTTTAGAAATAGTTTCCACTAATTGAGATAGTCTTAATGACGAATAATCAATGTCAGTAAAAGCTGTAAACATGAACAGATAAAATGTCATACGCTCAAACATGTAGAATTTGGATCCGGATATTTATTATTATAACACATGCAAAAACAGATTAATCTACATTATGGTATCCGGATCTAAACTCTACAAACATGTTAATACATACCTCAGATTTTTACGTTCTTCTTTCTTCTTCCCTTGTATGAAGAACGCATATAACATAGTAACACCACAAGACAACATTGTGACTTCTAATTCGTGATTTTTTTTGAAATATTCCAAGAATTCAGAAAGTGTAAGATCCCCTTCAATGTCAAACCGGTCCCACAAACTCCATTCCGATTCATGGTACTTTGTAATAACACAGGTTAAAATTTTGTATAACTAAATATTCACGTAAAGAATAATATATTTACCTTATATTTTGGCATGGCAATAGGATCAGAGAATCCAAAGAACGGTAAAGCTAAATTCACAAATCCATTTTTGTAATCCTCCAACTTATTTTTTCCCGCAATAATTTTATATAATTCTAGACAAACTAATCCGGTTACCAATGAAGTTGTTGTAGCGATAGCCGGTATAATTTTACCAGCAATGAACTTGGTCTTATGACGGTCAGCAGGCTGAATAGCGTAGTTAGCGGCTCGTAGATTAGAAGCAGCAGTGATAAAATCCATATGGAAATTTGTATCGTCATCCTTCTCAAATTCTACAGGATTTAACCGATATCCTGCCAATGATGATGATGATGGTAGAGATAAAACAATGTCTTGTAATTCATTTTCATCAGCAGTGACTTGCTGAACGGTTTCATTTTCCTGAACTTGAATCTTAACACCAGATTTAGGTGTGAATTCAGGCACAATAACATTGCTTAGTACCTTCTTAACGTACTCTCTATTAGTTTCACCTATAAAATTAGGAAACCATGCGTAAAATAAAAATCATCATTAAAATCATCTTAAATACTTGATAAATATTATAGTCTTACCCGTTAAGCCATAGTTGAATGCGTGCAAATTTGCAGCAGATACAATAAAGTCCAAATGGGTTTCCTGTAAAGAATCATATTATTTAATAGCATATAAATATAAGATAAATATGAATAGGTTATTGAAAACATGAAATACATTTTCTGGATCAAATATAAGCGGATCAGGTGCTCTTTTGGGACCAGACCAAAATTTTGTACCCGATGATGTGACCTGTTAAATAATGATGATAAGAGTATAA